GATTGTTGACATTTTAATATACTGTTGATTCACTCACTGACACAGTCCAGCCACACACACACACACACAATGCAGGTTTTATATGTCCCTCTCTTCACAATATGCAATACAATTTGATACAACATAGCAATCTACCCCTCCTCCTTGACAGCCTCCCCAGATATCCAACAGTATGAGCTTCTCTGGGTTAATATTCCCTTCAAAGATATTTCTTACTGCTTGCATAAAATCATATTGCTATTGCTGTTATTGAGTGTTCATCCATGTTTTATTTAAGGAGCCTGGTACCCATCATGACTTCAGATGGATAAGTCAGAAAAAAGCATTACAGTACAATCATTGTCCAGATTTATCCAGATTTATCCAGATTTATCATTCAATGGTAAGATAATTGGTATAATTGGTAACCTTTACCATGGCCCTATGGTCCCCTAATGAGACCACATTCAAACTCACAACATCTGTATTTTTATTTGGATCTGCACCAAATTGCACACACTCATAAATGTCAGTCCCCTCAATCAAAACTATCAAAATGAAATGCTCTTTCTTGCAATATAAAATAAATTGAAAAAGAACACTCCCTGGTGCAGATCAGCACCAAAATGTAATAGATTCTTCCTTGAGGTCATGCTTTATCCCTCCACAAAATTTCGTGGAATTCAGTTTCAATAACATTTTTTGCATAATCCTGCTAACTAACAACAAACAAACAAACACAAATTAAAAATAAATAAATAAATTGCACTTTATGCATAAACATATATATAGCCCAAGATTACATTCTCCTTCATCATTGCGGTCACACTCTGTAAACAAACGACAATCACCTACAGTGAAAACATCATTCTCATTTTAATCGTGTATGCAATGATGATTTCTTCCCCCTGTGAATCTTTGCAAAGTCAAAAAGAAAAAAACAACATAAATCTTTTCTCTTCAGCGCAATGACAAGAAAATGACAGGCACCCTGCCATGCCCGCAGCACAGTGCAACTCCACAGACGACAGAGGAGAGCATCGCCGCAGACAATAGTTAACACAGAGACATCGGGCGAGCCTGTTTAAAATGCAGTTACCATGGAAACCCTAGCCTAACACTGTCTGTCAAGCATATGAAAGTAAGCTGAAGAAGAAGAAGAAAAAAAGAAGCAGCCTGTGGGCATTATTTTGCTAGTTGACATGTGATGGAAGAGGTGAAGCATATCGTGGCACTGTACAGAAGAATGTGACAGCTCATGTTGAGGTCGGTGTGCTGAAGTGACAGTGGAGGCAGTGGCAGTGGGTGGAAGAGGATGACCAACAGTTTCAAGTAGGAGGCCATCTTCTAGTCTGATTTAAAATGATTTCCCATTAACACAAAAGGTCATTGAAACAAGATGGAGATCAGTGGTCCAGTATGCAGATAATAACATCAGTTCATACAGTGCATAGGATTAGGGTTTAGCATGTTAGTTTTACACAAGATAATGTGTTGCTCAAATATCTAAAAACCTCTCGTAAAAACTAAATGCATTTACACCTTCTCGTGTATTAACTTGTAGCTCAGTGATCACTCAGCTCATCCCTATGATTGCACTTGATTTGTGGTTCAGCATTCAATAGAACCTGTGTTATCAGACGCATTTAATATGATGTTTGAGAGGAGATCGCTAAAGTGTGACTCACGCATGGTCTCCTCCAACATATTATTAGAGTTGGCGATACAGAACGTGTCAGTTTAATATGGGTTTTCACCACTGAATGTGTATTTAAAACCTCCTTTTACGTCAGGTAACATAAGTTTATCTTCTGGGGAATTGTAATTTGGCTGTGAACGCATCTCTGGCCCTGCTTCAATGAGCTGTTACAAATCAATAATAGGATGACTTAAAATAGGACTTGGGGGGAAATTGTAAATGTTACATCTTTGTTTGTGTGTTATTTTAAATAAGCAAGTACGCTGAATTTACATGCACAAACTGGAATGGCGTAGAGTAAAGAGTATAACTTTGCCAAGACCCAATTCAAGTCAATCAAGCCGCACCAAATTGCACACACTACTCTAGATATATGCCTGATTTCTTTCATCAGGATCCAGGTGTTATTCGCTGGGTAAGAACGTGTCAAAAGGTCCTGATGATAATTGCTGGATCTGCCCCTTTATCTGGTTCCACCCACTAATTTAAAAGGTTCTTTCTTGGCCCATGTTCCTCTTTCCCACCTTGTTACCTTGTAGGATTTGGTTCCTTTGAGTGTTAACCCAACATCTGCCATATATATTTACTGTATCTCAATCAAGAACTCTTATTGTTGTTTGCTCAGCCTCTCCATCCTTATCACTTTTGTTATGTTTTATCAATGCAGTGGCCTTTACCGCACCGCTAGTCTCACATCCCAAACAACCCTATTCAAAAACCCTAATGGTCTGGATCCAACAGAAACATGGACTGCTCCTTCTCCTCTTAGTCCACTCGCCATATTCCACCATTAGTGTCACAGCTGCATGAACCCTGATGTCTCTGGAGCGAGCTGGATCAGAGTAGGTGGGCTCTACTACTCTTGCATTGGACCTGGAACCTAGGTGCAACATTGTAGACGGTCAACATAAAACCACCACATGGTCCAAGGATTTAACCAGAACTAGGTACAAGGACTCATTGTTAAGCTCCACAAAAAAAAGCCAGAGCATATTAGTTCAGATGTCAGGTCTTTTCATGTCATTTCTGCACTGACTGACCCTCGCCATTTGAGTTTTACAGGGCCACAAAAGAAGGCTACAATCCCTTACCTGTGGTTGACCTGACCGTGCATCACTTTAGATAGCAGTCCTGCTTATCCAGAGATTTTTGGTACTCAAAACCAGAAAAAAATCTTCAATGGATATCAAAACCTCTACTAAATTACTGGACGATTGTAAATACGGGACCTTTAACACAACATGCATTCACACAAAGAGGCTTTGCCCTCTGATATAACAAGTAAATGGCATAATAGAGGAGCACAACACTGCTTACAGTTGCACCATTGTAATGCACACCAGGGAGGCGAAAAGTGGAGCAGGTGAAAGAAAGGAAATGAGGTTGGAGAATGCGAGGAGAGACAGAGTCATGAATAGACAGATGGATGGATTTGATATTTAATTTGCCCTGTCTCTGACTCTGCCTGTAAGTGACTGTAGCCTGTGCTGTGATTTGCAAAGGAGCCAAACATGAAAGGAGTGACAGTCAAAAAGAAGGATGAATCACTGATTATGGTAAGTTCTGAAATACAACTTGGTGAATGGTGCAATAATGCACATTTTTATCACATTGCAAATTATTTGTTAGGAATCTCTGTCATAAACATTTTGGCGAAATGTTATTTGTGTCCCCAAAGAATGTAGAAACAAGCTTTATGTTTTTATGTTTCTTGCAGACTGCTGTATTTGTATAGGTCACTCAATAGCCCCTTTTCCACTGGTCAAAAAAACCCTAACACCTGGCTTTCTTCTGCAATGGGAATGGATACTATCGGCATTCACTCTTCAGTCAAGTGACTCTGCAGTAGACACAGGTTTTACTGACTCTGGCTCTGATCAGCAGTGATGGGCATGGGGGTTCACCTGGGTGAACGAGCTAATGTGCCACAAAGCGAAGTGAGAGAGCACCTCACCTGTCGATACGCTTGTGACATCAAACATGACGCATGGGGGTTAAAATAACTTCAAGGCAAACTCTTTTACTGGCAATGCGAAAGGAGTCAATTGCCTTTTTTGGCGGGTTTATCCATAGTTAAAGAAACAGTGTTCAAATCCTTGTTTTGCTGTAAAAGAGGTTTGGGACATGAACCAAACTAAAAAGTCGATCAATAAATCAAGTCCATTTTTCTCAAAGACGGTTTCTATCTTTTTAGTTAGTTCTTATCACACTGATGTTTGTTCAAGTGCTCATGTTTTCAATAAGTTTGGTTTTAACTGATGCGGCACAAACTGGGTGAAAGGTCATGATTGACAGCTAAGACTGACTCAAGGTTGGTCGAGCTATCGCAGCTCCACCTCCTGATTGCTACTGTCCTGAGTCTGGCTTAAAGATGGCAGTGTTCATATCCGGGATGTTTTAGCTTCCTTTCTGGACAGTGGGAAGTGGAGACACGTGGTTCGTCTTTATTTACGATCTGTGGTAGATATAATCTAAAACACGGCCAAATCTAAATTTAAGTCAAATTCTCTTTTATGAAAACAGAATTTATAATATTTATGAAATACATAATTTGGATTGTAAGCTAGCTCACATGGACTATAGTTTGAGGGATCACAATTACAAAAGAAGCCTAATTTGTTTTAACCCCTTCCCCCTTGTCTTGTTGTGTTTTCTCTTTAAAAGTATATTAAGTAAAAAAGCAATAGGTTTAAGACATTAGGGTTTGCTCCTTCAGAGATAATTATAGGCCACACAGTTTGTCTCTAATAAACTTTAAGGCTTTTCCAGGTTCTGTGATGCAGTTCTCACATTACAGACCTTGATCGTGGATGCGCCCACGCCTCCTCCCTGTGCCACACCCGCGACAACACACTCCGTCTTCAATTAGCTCATTATGTCGAGCATCAGCTGTTAGCCTATAGCTCCACAAAGACAAACCCCAATCTTTACGCACTGACATGTCCGAGGATGGATCCCACTCTAATGTGGGTCGGACGCGCAGGCTGCATGAGCTGATGAGAGATGAGACAATAAGAAATGTGCACCTGCTGACTCCTGCTGCACACTAGGCCTTGATATGCATGAAATAAAGGGATCCGTGTGCGTGTGCAGCCCAATGAACCAGCGTGCTGACCGTGTCGGTGGGATTAAAGCTGCGCCGTCTCCGTTTGTCCGCGACACTTGACGCACAAAGCGGCGCCTCTGCAGAGCCAAGCCGCTTCCCATCCTCACCTATACAATGTCATCTCGCAACAACCGGCGAGATGCAGCATGCACCTGTTCCGCTGTCATCATCATCATCATCGACCCCCATCGAGCACACATACAATGCACAGCGTACCTGTCACCGTCCAGGTCCAAATGTGTCAGGCTTCAGTCCGGGTTGCGATCATGGAGGATGCAGGGAAGACGCGCCGCTGCCACCGCCCCAGAGAGAGCGCCCCTCTATCTCTGCCCCGAGATGAAGCCCTGCAGGCTGGGTACAGCGGACACACACAAGCCGGCGAGGATGGCTCACGGTCGGGAAGGGCTCGGAGGAGAGTGGAGGGGCGTTTTCACGGTGTAAGCAGAGGGGGACTCCTCACGTCGTGCATGCGTGATGTGCGAGGACCGCTCCGCTCATGACACGCAGCCTCCCTGTCTGCACCTTACTCATGTTCTGCTCATCCTTTCGATCAGTAGAGTTAAGGACTAAAAATAAGATGCCCAAACAAATTAAATCTCACTCATAATTAAGCTTATTGAAATTTCCTTGAAACTGAATTTGACAGTTTCGTTTTTCACCTTGCTCCTTTTCCTAGATTGCACATTCCATGCCCTCTCATCAGTTTCATGACTGATCTTATGTTCCACTGCTGTTCATGGAACAATACTGTCTGCAGCCTGTCTGTGCCCTCGAATGTCCTTTACGCATTTGTCAGCTGCTGAAACACCGAATGCAAAGTGCATGTGAGACCATTAATTTAATCAATGCTCTTATAGCCTTGACCAAATGGAAATTGATATTGATGGTCAAAGACATAAGGACAGATGTGGAACCAGTAAGACATGACGCAAAATGTAAGTTTTATCTTTTTAGCTTTTAGCTTTGAATGGAGAAAAACACAATTTAATTTATTTTCAGTTTTGACTTTTTATAATTCATATTCTGTTTTACTGTGTTAGAAAAGAGCTCCCTTCACCAACTTAGCTTGTATTCAATTCAGTTGAATTTGTATTTGTATTGGACTAAATCAC